TTTTGGTAAAAATGCTAAATATATTCTCCAAAAATTCAAATACCAATGCAGTAGATGTTATTAACAAAAGCAAGATGTTTTGTGAAATATGTAAACAAATTGGATCCGTCCAGCCCCCCAGGATTCCTATTACCAACTATGGAATGCAGATGAAGATTTAAAAGGCTCCTCACTCAATAGCATATCAAAGGAAATAAACTCTGGCTGAGCCAAGAAGCTACTAGAAGGTGTATGTGGACATGAATCAGAATAAAGAACCGTTCCAAAAATACACACAGAAAAAGGTCCCTGCAGAGGAAAATCATACACTTCCAACTCACACTCAGTTGTATCTATGGAGTGAAACCAGACAAAACACCCTGTGTTAAGATTAAGGGCAAAAACATTTGCTGCAATTGAAATCTATGACTAAACCATTAAAAAAGAAATCCATAGGATGAATGCAAATTTCTGCTGAGATGCAGAGACCACTCTGATCTCATATTTTCCATCCCAGCATCCTGGACAGAGGCCTGAGAGGGAATTGCTTCCTTCAGAGACTGCAAATAAAATCGTCCTGGGCTGCACAGGAGCCTCTCCTCTTTCATGTTAAATTGATTTTTCCAAGAAGCTATAGACTTTGCAGTCCGCGTAGTATAGCATAGGTGCTAGAAGGAGAAGCAGAGGCCTAGGTTCTAGCCCTAGTTTCACCACTAATCTTTGATAAGTCTCCAAACCTGCCTGGACTGTGATCTCCTCTGTAAAATGAAAAGACCTTTATGAAACTTGTTTCAAAAGATGCCAATAGGAGATCATGGATAAGAGATTCCATTGTATTAGTCTTTTTACCATACTGTATGCAAGAGAAGTAGATAAAAAGGATCAAGCTTCACAGAAAGGTGGAGATGCCGAATGGTGTTGCCCTTTGAAACTGACAGAGCACAGCTCTGGAGTACAAAGACCCGGGTTTGAATGGAAGCTCTGCTGGCATTGGCTGTATGAGCTTGGCTTATTTATCTTGCCTTTCCAAGACTCAGTTTCCTCATCTGCAAAATGGAGATAACAATAACTACTTGATGAGATTTCAGTGAGGATTTGAATGAAATGAAATAATGCCCATGGCAGTGCTTGGCACACAGAGTGCTCTCAGAAAAAGTTCCTTTCTTCCTTCCTGAAGTGTTAAAACTCTCCCTGACCTTGAAGGGCACCAGAAGGGAAATCTGCTCCTTCCTGTTTTTATCACCATAATGGGAACAGCACCACTAAATTTCTAGACACAGCTGGCCCCTACTGCCAGGTTGTGTTTCCCACACTTCCTTCCTCTCCCAGAATGAGGAACTTAAGCGGGTTGAATCCCCTGGGAAGAGTGGATGACAGCAGGATTCCCAAACAGCTGAGTGAACACATCTATAACAGGAAGAATAAGTGTTTTATGGATTCACTGAAAAGGGCTATGGAGGCCTCCCCTCCTGCACCAAATCCCCACACGTATGATGTGGCAGCTGGCAAGTTGAAGGAGCAGGCAGCTCAGCTTGCAATGCAACAGTGAGAGACAGGGCTCTGGCTCAACACTGGTCCCTTCTGTTTTGTGTGTCAGGCACTGCGTATGATTTCATTTGGAAAATGTGTTCCAGACCTTTAAAATAAGTTTGTAAAATCACTGCCCCAGGTCCTTGAGGGTATTTCTAGGCGTGTAGGAAGCGGGAGTGGCAGAGGGACTTTCCTCCAGAAACTCCGTATCACCCCCGGACATCCTGGGCTCTCCTCAGCCAGTTTCCTGGAGGCTGTACCACCCAAATGGCAGCCCGAGATGCTCTGAGGATAACACAAAGGCAGATGTTGCGTGGATCTGGCCCTGCCTCAAGGCCTGTGACTCACCAGGATGACTGAGCCTCCCTGGCAAATAATGTAGTTCTCAGAGGACTCCATGAAGCCAAGTACAAAACCCTGAGGCCTGGAGACTTCCAGGACTTGCCCTGGTACTCCACGAGAAATGAAAACCCTTTTAGCCCACATTGGGCCTCAAAGATGGAGCGGCTGGTACTAGCCAGTGGTGGGAGGGGTGGGACAGGGGTATGGGGCGTGGAGGAAAGATGTTCGGAAGCAGGTGGGCCAAAGCCATGGCAATGCATTAGCTGAGGCAGCTGTAGGAGGGTCTTGGATGACAATCCACCCATTGCAACACCACTGTTTACTTTCTGGCCCTGCTCAGAGCTGGTTCTCTTTTCTACTATGACAATGAAATAACCAGCAATAAAAATCTTAACTGGACCACCAGAGCCTTAAACTGAGAAGGCAGAGGAGAGGATGTTGGAGGGTGAATTAAGGAGCAGTAGCCCACACTGGCCCTAGATTTGGCAGACCTGGGTTAAAATCCCCACTCTGCCATTTACCATACTTGCACAAGTATCTCAACCTCTTCAGGCTCAGTTCCTTCATTCATAAAATGAGAATAAGGTTGTTGTGACAATGAATTGAGACAGTCTATATCTAGACAAAAAAGGCTTAGCATAATGTCTGGTGTAATGTATCCATCTAAAAAATGATTACGAATATTTTTTTGTAATTTGTCCAATTCTGACTTAAGTCTGCCACTTAGGGGCTTCCACTTTGTTTCTGAGTGTATTTCTCATCTCACTTCAAGATTTCACCAGGTCCCCATTTTGTCGCCCCACCTAGACCTCTGAAGATCTGAGCCCTTTCCCTGAACCCCAGCCCAGGCCTCTGGGAACTACCCTAATACCAGCTGCCCACAAGGATTTTCAAATTTCAGCCACATTGATTTCTTGTTATGGTGCTTCGCCCACAAACCATAGCACTACCATGCTCTGCCTTGGACACCTCCATCATCACAGACTGATTGTCTGAACTGGTGCCAGATATCATGGTATCTGTTGCTCACCAGAGCTAAGCTCCTTCATCAGCCCCAGAAGCTCATCACTTACCTGAGAACAATGCCTCTCCTTTAGGCAGATCTAGACACAGGTCTGGTTCCCCTTCCTACTAGCCAGCCATGCCCCAAAGATTGTACATACACGACATGGTGAACTCACGGATGGATGTGCTAGGGCTTGGAACTGGTTACAATAAGCAGTTTCTAGCCACCCCTTTGTCACAGTGATCCCTAATGCTCCTTTCAATTCTAAAATTCTATGATGGATGATTCCATTGCCTAGGTTACAAAAGCACTGGCAGACAAACCACACCTACTTTCTTTCTGTCCTCTGCCTTCAAGCTTTGGTGAACAAGCCTGGGGTCATTGAATGAAATGCTATAGGTGAGCTGAAAGTAAGGTGAAGTGATATGGTGGTGCCAGAAGCAGTTGTGCAACAAGTTGGGTTGCCACAGTTAAAAACGGCTCTCAATGAAAGCAGAGATATGCAGACGATGTGCTCCTACCCATAATTCCTTCAATCACCCACTCATTCATTAGGCCACTCAGCCAGCCAGCCATCAAATATACATCAAGGATCTGCCAGGATGCTTGTGAAAGGAATGCAAACATGAATAAAACAAGATGTCTGCCCCAAGAAGCTCATATGCTGTCCAGATATAGACAATCACAATACAGTGTGTTAAGCACTGTGACACAGGAATCTGTGAGTTTTTTGGTAGCACTGAGGAGGGAACTCTCATTCAGACCAAGATCAGAGTAGGTAGGGGACAGCAGCAGGAAGAGATCCCAGAATAGATGACTTAAGTTGAAGCTTCAAACATGAGTAGGAGGTGGCCAAGGAGAAGGCAAATAGAATAACAGCTTTTGCAAAGGCTCACACATGTGCGAGACCATGCTGTATTCAAGGATCCAAAGGTAGGTCAACATAGCACTGAGGAAGGGGTTTGAATTTAGCGATGAGCAGCAGGAGATGAGTCTAGAGAGGCAGGCAGAAGTCAGAGCAGGAAGGGCTGTGTGTTGAGCTGAGGAGGTTCAACTTTATTCTATGGGCTGTGAAGAGATACTGGATTAAGAACCTTTAAAAAGTGGCTAGAGTGCCAGTGTGACAGTGCACAGGAGTGAACAGCTGTTGGTTTTTGGCTGGACTGCATTCCTCTCTCAGAGCATCGACCTTCCTTTTGGGGAATCTCCCACTGTGTGCAGTAGTCTTGGTTGGAAGATGTACCCTGGTGTAGTACAGAAGCTCAGTAAATGTTTGTTGCTGTATAAGTTACCCCATTTTAGAGATGGGGCCCATGGTGATCTCCATGTGTATATCTTGCTCTCTCTTTTGTATTCTCAGTGCTTGGCACACAGTAGATGCTCAATAATATTTGTTGAATGAATGCATGAACAACAAACAGATGGTTGGCATATCCTTGCTAAAAGTATCATGTGAATGCATTACCCTCAGTGGCCTTTGATCTCCCCATCTGTAGAATGGCTCCTACCACCAAAGTAGATCTCCAGTAGATTTGGGGGATGGTGGGAGGTGGACTTTTAGACCTGAGAGGACCACAGCTCTGAGTCAGGGTTATAGATCTTACGTTTGTATACTCCACTCCAGGACAGTAGCTACATCCCACTCTTTAAAGCTGGGTTGCACTAATCAGATGGTAGTACAAAGAAAAAGAAGGGAAGGTGAGATGACCTACTTTGTTTATACTGATTGCATTATCCTCAACCTTAATCCTTGCAGGGCTGTTGAGAGGAGAGGACACAAGATAAGCAGGAATACTGTGTCTGGTACCTGTTAGGTGCTCAAAGATGTATGATTAACTCCCCACCTGGCTAGGGTAAGGGCTCAGTAAATGAGAGTTTCATTACTCATGGTCCTTATGACAACCCTACAAAGTAGGCATTCTTACTCTCATGTTAGAGCTGAGGAAACGATAGATTTTCTCAAGGCTGCATAGCCTGTAGGTAGGAAATTCAGGATCTGAACCCAGCTCTGTCTGGCTCCACCACTCAGCTGCTTTTGAAAAGACAAACAGCCCTGGCACGTACTGAGTACAGCTGGGTTGACACAATGAGTTCAGGAGTTGAAGAGTACCACGTGAATCAGGGACATCAAAATCAGCCATACCCCCTCTAGTGTTGGCAAAATGATGGATTCCAGCATGAGACAACCAGGTTCCTTCTTCCAAAGGCCATTTTTCACTGAGGTCCATGCTTCTAGTAAGTCTCTTGTATGTGCTGCTCTCAGATCAAATGGAATCTGCTGAAATAGATAATGAGCACAAAAAAGAGAAGTGAATTACTATTGATGCTCTCCCAGGAGGGGAAACTTTCTTGAAGGAAAACAGTCAGTTTCTAGTTCTTTATGTTTTTTTAGCATGCAAAGATTGTGGCCAGGATTCAGACTTGCGTGGCCTGAGTGTGAGATCTTCCAATGAGGCTGCTCCAGTCCACAAACCATGGTTTCCCTCTCCAGTCAGTTAACAAATGTTTACGAAGCAACAATCACATACCAGGCTTTGAGCAAGAACTTACTGTGTTTAGTTCTGCATTCTTTGTAGACTCTGAGAATTTCAGGGTAGGATACAGTGGGATGTCAATTTCATAAAAATAAATAGATATATACTTCTATATATGCTTCAAAAATAGAGTGGAAAATTTTGAACTAAAAAATTGGGTGTAGCTACCATTGTATTGGAATTGTGAGTGCTGTTCTTTGTAATTTTCTGCATTTCCCATGATAAATCTGCATTCCTTTTATAATCTTGAAAAAGTAAATAATAAATATTATTTTAAAGGAAAATCTCAGGGCCAAGAAGGACCTTGGAGACCAATTTTCCATTTCCTCTTGAAAACCATGATAGAAAGTCATATGTCATGAGTGCCCTTGGTTTTCATAAAAAGGTCGCCTCACTGGCTGCCTCTGAGAAGGCCAGCCTGGGGACTCTCTACCTATAAACTGTATCTGGGGAGATTACAACTCATGGCCAAACTTTTGCCCAAGTTACAAAGACATTTTTATTATGCTCTGTGTGTAGCAGGTCCTCAAATGGACATGGCTGAATAATTGAACATGACTGATTGACAGAATCTGTGAATGCAGCTGGTGAGACATCCACCATGGCAGAAATCCTGTCAGCCTAATTAGGATGGGCACTGATTATCATTTGTTGTAATCAGAGCAGCTGGTTTGATTTCGTCTCAAGAATGCTGTTCAAAGTTGCCCTGCAAGTTCCTGCACTGCCCACCTGACTGTAGGCATGGCAGACTGACTTGTTGCCTTCTGGCTGTCTGCCTAGAGAAGTGTGGTACTCTTGGGAGTTGCAAAAACAACCAAAAATCTCTAGGGAAATACCAGGAGGTACCAAAGATTGTACTGCACTTTGTGGTTACTGGCCCAAAAGTTTTAGAAGGGAATCCTAGAGCAGCATGTATAGTACAAGGCCATGATGTAAACATTAGACTCATCAATAAATCCACATTTTACCCTGACTGTGGTACTACCTGGGTGAGTTTGGGTAAAGAACTTACTCTCTCTGGCCTTAATTTCCTCAACTTTAAATGAAGGAATTAGGACTAGATGCTGTGAAAGGCCTGTTTAGTCTTCCAAGACATGCAGCCCTATAATATTCTACTTTTACATATGAAGGCAACCTATCCACCCACATCAGTGGGCTGAGAAAGCTGTATTATTTATCCATCAGCAAGCTGAAGATCAGCCTCAGCATGTGAGAGGTGAGGCTACCATTGGAACAAGACATGTTCTCTGTGCAAAACTAAAAATATGTCAGGAATAGAAATCCAGTTCTGGACTGTGATCACACTGGTATCATTTAATCAAATGAACTAAATATTCAACATCCTGTATCTTCACCAATTATTAAATAACATTAACAATAATATTATATCCTTAAAAAGCAACATCTATTTACATTATGTAGACTGGTCTTCAAAACGACTTCAGTAATCCTTGCAGTATCCTTGAGAAGGGAGTTAGAGATAATAGATTTGTTTGACAAAAATAGAGCTTTACTGATTAATTGGAGAGTTGGTTTCAAAGTAGACTCCTCATCCCTCTTGGACCAGCGGCCTAGGCACCCAGTGGCCCCCAGGAAACAGATTTGCAAGATGATATCTCTGGATGTGTGAGGTTAGGCTCTCACATCCATGCATTTTATTTTATTAATCTGAACTACATAGGTTCATATTGAATGTGTTATTAACTTCAACTCACAAACCCTGCTGGTTTCTCTGAGGCTTGAATTTCACACCTCAGCTTGGGAAAGCCAAGCATAAAATGTGAAATGAAATTACATCAAACACAAGTATTTCGAGAAAGACTTTGATCAATCACATCTGTTACTGAAATTCTAACACCATCACTTCAGTCACAGGAAGCCTCAGAGTTGCTCATGAAACTCTAGAGTCTAGAAAATATTTTACAGGATTCTGGCCATATAAAACAACTTATTCAGGGTTTTCTATAAAGTGTTGAACCTCTATCCAAGTCAAAATTCTATCAAAGACTAAGTCCGTGAAGAAGAAACTAAAGAGAGAAAAAAGTTAATGCAACCATGGGAATAGGAAGTGAGGAAATACTTTTCTCTAACACAGCACATGGCAACTCAAACATTAATACAGGGGGTGGAGTGAGTGGGAAAGCCTAGAGAAACTTATAGTTGTAGTTCTGACTTTGAGAAGCACTTTTTTGAAGAGACAGCTACACTCCCATGTTCATTGAAGCATTGTTCACCACAGCCAAGATATGGAAACAAACTGTCCTGTCAATGGATGAATGGACAAAGGTATGGTGTATACATATAATGAAATATTATTCAGCCATGAAAAAGAAGGAAATCCTGCCATTTGTGACAACATAGGTGGAGCTGGAGGACATTATGCTAAGTGAAATAAGCCAGACAGAGAAAGACAAATACCGCATGGTATCACTTATACATAGAATCTAAAAAGGAAAAAAAAGTAGAACTCATAGAAACAGAGGATAAAAAAGTGGTTGCCAGGGGCTGGGAGGGTGGGGGAAATGGGGAGAGGTTGGTAAAAGGGTACAAACTTTCGGCTATAAGATGAATAAGCTCTGAGGATCTAACGTATAACACAGTGACTATAGTTTTTTTTTAAAATTAATTAATTTATTTATTTATTTTTTGAGGAAGATCAGCCCTGAGCTAACATCTATGCTAATCCTCCTCTTTTTGCCGAGGAAGACCGGCTCTGAGCTAACATCTATTGCCAATCCTCCTCGTATTTTTTTTTTCCCCCAAAGCCCCAGTAGATAGTTGTATGTCGTAGTTGCACATCTTTCTAGTTGCTGTATGTGGGACTCGGCCTCAGAATGGCCGGAGAAGCCATGCGTCGGTGCACACCCAGGATCCGAACCTGGGCCGCCAGTAGCGGAGCGCACGCACTTAACCGCTAAGCCACGGGGCCGGCCCCATGGTGACTATAGTTGATAACACTATGTTGTATAATTGAAATTTGTTAAAAGAGTAGAACTTAAATGTTCTCATCAAAAAAAAGATAAATATGTGAGGTGACGGATATGTTAACTAGATGGGAGGAATCATTTCACAATGTATACATATATCAAATCATCACAATGTACACTTTAAATATCTTACAATATTGTTTGTCAATTATATGTCAAGAAGACAAAAAAATAAATCAAGAAAAAAAAAGAAACTAATCACCTGCATAGTTGGACACTGGGATCTACAGAATACTGGGATACTATGAATACATAATTTATATTTAATAAATACTGGTTGATTGAATGGATGAATTAATGATAATGACCATGTGGGTAAGGACCCTAGTCAGATTTCTGATACCGGTAAGCTCCCAAAGGAGATCTGTCTACCCTAAAAGAGTGATAAGAGGCCAAACGGACCTTTGGACCAGAACTCTCCTTAAACTGACACATCCTCCTCTCTTTTCAGAGCTGCCTCTAGAGCAAGCCATCTACTCAGCTGCCTGAGCCAGAAACTGGCCATCCTTGATTGATTGATTACATCTCACATCCAATCAATCACCAACTTTTGTCCATTCTATCTTTCAAATGTCCCAAGAATGCATCTGCTTCTCTCTGTTTTCATTGCCTCAGCCTTAGTTCAGCCACTATCATCTCTCACTGAGATACTGCAAAGACTTCAGTGGAACCCTGGTCTTCCTTTCCCCCAACCCATTCTCCACACTTTATTGTAGTAATATTTTTAAAGCACAAATCTTATCGTATTACTCCTTGATTAAAATACTCCAATGATTCATTACCCTAGGAGAAAGTCCAGACCACATAACATGGTATATAAGACCCAGCTGTAGCAAAGTATTTGCGGTCCCTGAATAAGCTCCCCTCTTTGGTCTTTTGTATATTCAGCCATTGCTAGAGCTCTAGCAAGACTGTTCTTCCTGCCTCACCTTGCTAACTACAACTTACCCTTCACGTCTCATCTTAGATTTGGTTATGTGTTCCCCACAGACTTCCCTGGGCTTACCCTGTTACAGCATGTATCACACTGTACTCTAATGGTCTGTAAATATGTCTGTAGAGTTTAGTTCATAGTTTATGTCCTTGAGAGCAGAGATCCTACTTATTTGTAACCTTAGCACTTGTACAGTAGCTGTCACAAGGTGAGTACTCAATATATATTTGTTGAATGAATGACTATATGAATGAATGGTGGTGTTGGGCACAACTGTATCTCAGTTTAACATATCCCTTTGGAAAGTAGTCTCTTTGCAGCCTCACCCACCTCCTCTGCTTCTTTGGCAATTTCTCCACCTAAAAACCGCACCCTATCTGCCTCTGCTTCCTGGCCTTATACTGACTTTCTCATCCAGTCTAACTTGCTGAGATTCTTCCACTTAAACTCCCACTTCGGTTTACATACCTGCTCCTCTGCCCAGCATGCCACTAGAGGCCCTGCCCCTCAAACACCTGCCTCCCTCCCCAAGCTTGGGATGAAACTAAACTTCTGATTATCCACCAGAGACACCCGCCCACCTAATGCAGCTGAGTCACGCCTAGACCTCTAAGCAACACCTCTAGGGTCATTTCTAGTGGTGGGGGCTTAATCTAGGAATACAAATTCAGAAAAACTCTGGTCATACTTTGACTCTGCCTTAACTGCCATGATATAGCGCCATCTGTAGAGAAGGAATTAATTAGCTAGAAGTGCCATGTTTGGGGAAACTGGATGGCATATTCCATCATTCAAGTGTTCAAGCAACCATGGGTCCTAAGGA